GACTGTTGCTGTCTCTATTTTCTCACGAAAATATGAAGCAAGATCATGAGCCAAAGTATAGAGGGGGCTATAGGGGTACAACGCTGCTTCCTGGATGACAGGAAAATCGGTATTAGGGAGGGATGGGGAAAGGGAAGATGTTGACCAAAAGGTACAAAGTCTTAGTTAGATTGGAAGAGTAAGTTTTAGCGATCTGTTGTACTACCTGGTGATCACAGCAAACAATAGTAATTTATTGCATATTCAAAATTGCTAAAATAGATGCTTAATGTTCTCACCATAAAAAAATTTTTGATGAGGTCACTGGCTTGACCCTTCTATAATGTATCATAGATCAAAATATCATATTGTACCCCACAGCCACACAGTTATTTGTCAATTAAAAATGGAATAAAAAGAAAAATCAATGTTACAACATGATGAAGAATATCTATCTCAAGATCAATGATCAAAATCAGCATCATGGCACAACCCTAGAGGCATCCCCAAAGATGGGAAATATGAAGAAAATGTTCATTTATATTCCCATTTTATGAAGGAGGGAAGAGAAGATAGAAGTCTAAGCATCGTGCCCAAAGAGCCTCAAAAACAGTACAGCTGGGTTTTTATCAGGCATAAGTGACCCCTGAACCTGTTTTCCAGAACCCCAACACCAAACCTCTCCTAAGCAGGGGTAAGGACTGAGTCCGCTCATCTCCCGCAGGGCACAAAGATCGTGTGCGCTGTCAGATGCAATGGGGGGCTGCACATGTGCAGGACAGAAAGCAGCTCTGGGGACACAGGCATACATTATAGAGTTCTCCAGCTGTGGCTCAGGCGTATTCTCTGAAGGGCTGGAGAGCTGGGGTTTGTTTCAAAACACTAATGTGTTTTGGAAAGGAGAAAGAATTTTTAAAGACGAGTCATCTCTTATTCTCTTTCTTCATTCACGGGGCCAGAAAAGTGGTATTTCTGGCATGGGCTAGAGGCAGAATACTCTATAAATACAAAGCCATTAAATCCCATGCAGCAGAAACCTGATCAGGGCCTCCTTTTAATTTCCTGACATGAGCTGGCCACTAACCCAATTACCCAGAATCCCCGGAGGAGCCCTCCACCTTCCCGACAAGCACAAAGAGACAGCGCATGCACAAGCATGGATGGCAGCCCAGCTCTCGCTGAAATCAAATATCTTTTAGAAAACACTTGGGGAGCAGCAGGCAGGGGCTGAGAAGAGGAGGGGGAGGAGGAGCAGCCCCAGAGGCCAAGGCTGCAGGGAAGCAAAGCCAGGAGAGGAGAAGGTGAAGTTTGCAGATCAAACTGACCAAGAAAAGAGGCTGAAATCCAGCGCTGTACTGAAGATGTGGGGAGCACCCTGGGAAAGGCAGCAAACAAAGTCTCTAGGGTTCCTCGGGATTGGAGGCTGAGTCAATCCACACTCTACCCAGGCTGTGAAGCTCGACTATGGGGGATCCTCCCATCCTGATTCTAGCTAGAACCCAGAGAAGGGGCTAGTGCACAACAATACCACTAAGATTCCCACCAGGAAATCCAGGAAGAAGATCAGGGCAGCTGGAGACACGTTTGCATCATGGGACACAGCAAGAAAAGACTATCTGCCCCCACCATCTGTACTTGGGTTGAACTCAGGACCTTTGCACTGAGCTGCATTTCAGTCCTTTTTATTTATTTATTTAACTTTGAGTCAGCATCTTGGTATGATTCTATGTTGCCCAGGTTGGGCTCAAATTTTTGATCCTTCTGCCTCAGCCTCCCAGGGTGCTGCTGCTACACTCCGCTGAAGCTAACACTGAGTGTTCCCAGGAATTATGGGTCAAAGCAGTGCCGGGGTAGGTTCTGCCAGGAGGAGCTGCCCCTTTGAATGCTCGTGTATAGCGGGCAACGGATAAGCGGTAATAACATCCCTGTTAGGGAGAGTAATGGAGGCCTGTGGGTGTGAGGAGCAGCCCCTCGCAGCAGGCGTGCCCAGAACTGGAGACTGCAGCCACCAGTCCCCAGTCAGCTCAGATTTTTGTACTCAAGTTTGTATAGAAAGAGAAAAACTACGTTTCCTCCCCTGAAAATACAGGTTTCCATATCCTGGATTTGCTATGGATGGACAAGACTACCATCCACAGCCTGCTCTGGGAAACCCACAGACCCCGGGTCAGTCCCCACTAGCTGAGGAATCTGACAAACTTGGGTCCCTGAGACCTAGGAAGCCACACATCTGACCCTTGTCCCAGTAACTGCTGGGGGCCCTCAATCATGAAATAGTCTCCTTGATTATTTTACTAAAGAAAGGAAAAGTAACAGAGGCTGGGCGTGGTGGTGCATGGCTGTAATCCCAGCACTCAGAAGGCTGAAGTGAAGATCAGGAAGATCTGGGCTACATAGCTATTTTAGACCTACTTGGAATATACACTGACACCAAATCTCAAAATATGAGAGAGACAGAGGATCTCAAGGTGATGAGTAAAAGAGGAAGACAGCAGGTGACATTCACACTCTTCCTTCTAAGACTTGGGGAGCCCCAATGCCTGGGACCACTGGGGGACCCTGTGCTGGAAGCAGCGGAGAGAGACTGGCACCCGAGCTGTCCCAGGAGCCCGGCCCTGTGTGCGGAGCCAGGAGGACCCCCAAACAAAGGTAGAGCCCCGCAGCTGCCAAGCTCTGGCTGGCAGGGACCCAGGCTCCTGAAGAGGCCGCAGCTCCTGAGGGGCCGGTCCCCACGGAGCTGTAGATCCCAGATCTCCCCAGGGCTCAGTGGACCGCTCACCAGAGGCATCTGCCTGCCACATTCAGGAGCCTTTGTGTCATCTGGGCCTTCTTGGATTTGGGCCACCAGCACCAGAGAAAAATGTTCTGGTGACTGTCCCAGGCAGAGCTGCAAAACAGCCTTCTCAAGATCAGCCCATCTGCCCAGGGGACAGAATAACCGGGTGTCACCTGAGCCAGAGGCTATCAACCACAGGACAACTTACGGAAGGGACAGGGATCACTCAGTTCGATTCTGCTTGTTCTCAACACCATCATCCCCAGTTTGTCCTGTTTCTCTTATGAATGTCATTCCTGGTGTCATAGCTGAACACTCAGACACTCCCTCTCTTGCCGGGCATCCCTCCAACATGTGCCCCTTTGGGGGCACTAGAGCGTGGCCCCCTTTCCCAGCACCAAGAGCCTCAGGACAGTCCAGGGAGGGAGCAGCGGTGCCCCCACCCAGGAAGCTCCAACACCAACCCTGGCTCCCCTGGGGCCAGTGTGTAGCCAGGAAGGCATCACGCTCCAACCACACTGGGCCCCTCTGTCACTCTTAAAATTCAGAGGTGCAATGACAACAAGGCTTCTCAGAGGCTGCACACTCCAGCCAGGAGAGGCCCTGGACAGCTGGCCCCAGCCAGACTGCATCCTCATGCCCAGCCAGGAAAGCAAGGTGGCAAGAGCATCAGCGAGAGCAGGAAGGCGCAACTCTTCACACCTTCCGAGGGGGCTCTGAAGGAGCAGAAAGAGGCCAGTGTGGGAGCCAAGAGACCCAGGTCTGTAATGCCAGAATTCTGTGAGGCTGAAGCAGGAGAATCCCAAGTTTGAGTTCAGCCTGAACCTCGTGACTCAGCAAGACCCTGTCTCAAAATAAAAAAAATTTAAAAAAAAGGACTGAGGGGCTGGGGATTTAGTTCAGTGGCATAAGCACCTGCCTGGCAAACATGAAGTTGTGAGTTCGATCCTTGGCACCAAAAAATTAAAAATTTTAAAAAATTAAAAAGAGAAAGGGCTGGAGATGCAGTTCAATCAGTGTGAAAGCCCTGGCTTCAATCTCCAGTACCACACATGTGTACACACACACTCTCACTCAAACTGTGAAGAGTCAAAATGCGCCAGCCCTGGGCTAGGCCTGCAGTTCAGTGGTAGAATGCTTGCCTAGGATGCCCTTGGCCCTGGGTTCGATCACCATCACTGAGAAAAAAAAGATGAAGAACCAACATGCAGTCTTTCAGCAGATCCAACACAGCTCAGTTTTAGCCTAGAAAGAGGGCTGATTTTTCCTCAGTGGCGCCCTCAAGAAAGCAGCTGGCTTGGGGTGTCTCCATCAAGAATAAAAGGGTTAAATTAAGTGACTAATGAGATACATTCTGAAAGCCAGCAAGCTTCTGGGCGTGGTGGTACATACCTGTGACCCCAGCACTCAGGAGCTGGGGCAAAAGAACTGCCGTGAGTATGAGGTCAACCTGGACTACACAGTGAGTTCAAGACCAGCCCCAGTACACAGCCAAACCCTGTCTCGATAAACCAAACCAAACCAAAGGCAGCATGCTATGCAGACAAAAAGGGTGACTCTGAACTCACTTCAAGAGCTATATAGGTACAAAGGGGACCTAGAACAGAAAGGGAAGTGGGGGGCCTCCAAATTCCATGGCATGAAGATTTAACGCTTCACACTAAAGATGCATCATTAATTTAGGTCCCTGCCCCAAAGAGTGCTCCTAAAGGCTGGCTGGGCTTCTGCAGACCTCTCACAAAGGGGCTCCCCTTGGAAGCCAGAGAAAGGAGAAAATGTACACCAACACCAGTACCCCCAAAATGACACTGAACAAGGTTCTTCAAACTAAGTAGCTCTGAGGAGAAACCAAAAGCTAGGCAGGCATGGTGGCACACATCTGGCAATGCCAGCTGGGAGGCTGAGGCAGGAAGATCACAAGTTTAAATCCAGACTTAGAAAAGTAGAGGACAGGAGCAGTTAGGGAAGGAGAAAAGAGAAAAAAGGTGAAGCTGGAGGAGACCTAGAGCAACTGTCGGCAGAATGAGCTCCACGCCATCTGGTGTGCTCGGAGCCACAGAGAAGAGTGAAGGCAGCTCGTGCAGCTGTCGGAAGGAGGGTGGTGTGCACAGTGTGGGGAGAAGTGCGTGGCACCCTGGAGAGAGCTTAACCCACGCAAGGTGGGCTTGCAGGACAAGAGCTTGTTGCAGCCCCGCCCCTGCTAGTGGGAGGAGCCAGAGGCGTGCTGTGGCGGGTGGGCTCTTACCTTCCTTCAGCATTCCCACTTTGAGGCATTTCATGAAGCGGCAGGCCTGGCAGGACTTGCGCCTCCGCTTCGTGATCTCGCACTCATTGGTGGCCGGGCAGCTATACTCGATGTTCCCTAAACCAGACAGAGACAGGGTTGTCAGGCTCCTCAGAACCGGAACTGTCAGGTCTTCCTTGCAGAGGAAAAGTCTCTCCAGAAAGTGGTCGCTTCTGGTTATGAAGCCACCACCGCGTGGGGACATCAAAACTCACTGAGCTGGCTTTTAGCACCCCCATACACACCTGTGCTGACCAGAACATCCGCTCAGATCTGATCTCCATCTCCAGCTCCTTCGAGGCCAGCCCCACCCCAGCTGGAGAAAGCCTCAGGGACACTGAGCCCATGGTGTGAGGACCCAGGGGAGACCAGGCTGCCAGTTGTGTTTACCTTCTTCCCACCAAGTCAGTTGCTTCATGTGCAAAACAGTGTGCGGCTAGCTCCTGACCAAAAGACTAAGCAAGACACTGTGTGGAAAGTTCCTTTAAAACTCTGCAATCCCAGTGTGGTAGTGCACACCTGTAATTCCAGCACGCAGGAGAACACACACTGGAAGCCAGCCTGAGAAACTTTGTGAGACTCTGTCTCAAAATGAAAAGTAGAGAGGGCTAGGGATATAGCTCGGAAGTAGAATGCTGCCCAGCATGTACCAGAGCCCGGGTTAGAGCCCTAGCACCAAGGAAAAAATAACAATAATAAGCAAAAGTTAAGAGCTAGCCAACATGAGGTGGTTATTTTATAATAGTTCCTTGTGGGAGAAAGCATTTGTGATTCAGTTTCCACATCACTCCTTAAATGGGTTATAATATTCTTAGCACAGCCCTGTACTGAGCCCCAGAAAGGCAGGGCTGGTGCTGCCCACCTCCAGGAGGCAGCCAGGTCAGGCGCTACCTGCAGCACCCATGCTGCCAGCCACCTCCCCGCTGCAAGGACCGGAAGCCTGAGGCTCACACTTCGGCAGTGTCAGGTGACCACCAGGCCAAGTGAAGGCTGTGCTGATCTTCCTTCCAAGGCTCCCAGAGGCCCTTGCTGCTTTTTTAGCAACTCTTTTCCAAGATGGTCTTCAGGCTATGGCTGCCTTTTCTATGCAAGGAACAGCATCCACCCTGCAGACTCTTTCCTGTGACTTACCTAACATGCGTGCTGCACTGGGTACCTATAACTTGTCTGGTATCAGGAAGAAAAGGAATGATGGGGTCTCTCATTTCAACTGTCCCCAGACTCCTCCTCTGGAAGGAGCAGAGGGCCTCCCTGTCTTTTCTATCCACGCCAAGGTTTACTGTTCACCCACTACACACATCACCTGTATCAGTTCCCTCCATCCTCACCGCAGCCCTAAGTTGGGTACATCAGAGCCCCATTTCACAGAGAAACTGAGGCTCACACTGAAGTGAGCCACCCAGATCCCCTGTGCCATGCACACCTAATTGCATAAACAGCTCGTGGAAATCAGAAAGGCACTCACCAAAGAACAAGAGTGACATCTCTGAGCCCCATTACTAACACCTAACTATGGGCCACACATCCTGGCTCAGGAATTCCTTACCTCAACTTTCTGGTGAGGAAACTGGCTTCCCAGAACATCCTGGAGACCCCTCAGCTCTCTCCCCTTCTGCAGAGAGAGGCTGGAGATCGTCCTCCCGCTGGAAGATGGAAGAGGAGAGGAAGAGGAAGGATGAAGGCCCTGTGCCCCTCCCCCTCTTATCCGACTCTAATCATTTCTTAAGTGTGTTTACTTGTGTGGCTTCCTGTGAAAATCATTTCAACACTCGTGTAAGCATGGTGAAATTATTAACAGAAGCAGAAGAGAGGAAAACACACAACCATCAACTAACTCATCCAAGTCTCAGCCGTGGCTCAGAGGCACAGCCAAACTCGGCCTCAGTCTCCACTCCATCCATTGCTCTCCATCTCCAATCTCCCCATCCTGATTCCTCCACTGCTTTTCCACAGTCATAAGCTCCTAGAACGCAGGCGTCACCGAGATGTCCAGGCTTTCACTGCTACAGCTGAGAACAAACCCAGCAGGCTCCCTCAGCCCCAGACCAGGCCTGGCAACCTCTCCAGGTCCCTCTTGGAAGGTGCTCCTTCTCCCTGCTGACCACCACTGATGTCCCCATGGCCTGTCTGTGACTGCCCAGCCTGGGTCGCCTCTGTATTACAGCAGGTGCTCAGTACCCACTGAGAGCTAACACAGATCTGCGACCACTGCGGCTGTGCTTCACATTTACATACTGGGTCTTCAGCTTTGCCAACAACCCTGAGGGGAAACCTCTATTTGCCCGACTTGCAGGTGATTGCAGAGGCCAGACTGAAGGGCAGCTCAGGTGTGAGCCCAGAGGCTGGCTCTGGCCCCTGACTCAGTGCTGGAAGGCAATCGAAGTCAGACAGTTAATGCGTGTCGCCTGGGACTCCTTCCCACACAACTTCCGGTGTCCTGCTGTCTCACCTGCACAGCTCTGACCATCCCTTGAGGGAGGACGGAGCACAGGCTGTAGCTCAGACCGGGGACCAAGATATGGATATGACCCTGGGGCTCGAGTGGCAACAGGACTGAGAGCCAGCAGCAAGTCAAGAGGGATGTTCTTGACCCTCTGTGTGTGTGTGTATGTGTGTGTATGTGAGAGTGAGAGTGAGAGAGAGAGAGAGAGAGAGAGAGAGAGAGAGAGAGAGAGAATTCTAATTTTACTTATTTTTGTTCCTTTCAATTTGTCTTATGGTCCCTGCGGCTGGTTGCCAGCAGAACCAGGCTGGTGGCCTGGCCTTGTAATTTCTGTAAGTGCCTCCTCGATAAGGTGATGAGATTAATCCATCAGAATTCCTGCAGTCTCCAGGGGAGTCTAGGAGAGCACAGAAGAGAGGCTGGTGACACATGTGCACATGCTCGCCTCCCACCAACTGAAGTTTGGGGTGGGCTCTTACAGCACAAGGACACAGCCAACAGCCAGTACGAACTCAGGGTTCTTATCTGGGAGTGTGTCCAGTATAGACATGCACTGACTCCATTTCAGGAAAGTCATATAACTTCTCTGAGCCTCAGTTTCCTTACCCATAAAATGGGTAAGGTTGTGCAGATTTGGAAAACATGACAAGGGACAGGATTAGTAGGTTTCCTTCCTTGGCTTGAGAGCAACCACAGTTACCCACTAATGTTTATGTCCAGGTGGATCTGGAGGGCTCAGCTAGAGGGCTCGGGGGTACTCTTCAAGGTGTCAGGTCCAAGGTGCCGTTCCAACTTTTTTTTTTTTGTCTTTTTCGTTTTTATCGGTACCAGGGATTGAACTCACGACTGCCTGCTTGCAAGGCAGGCGCTTCGTTCCAACTTTTAAGAACTTGAAAATCTGCCTCCTGCAGCTGGGCCTCAGGGATGCAGCCTTTAGGGCAGCCCCGCCCCAGGCTCTGAGGTGGGAGCTGCTGAGTTCAGACTCAGCTCTTGGGGACAAGTGGTACCTCTGTTTGACCCCAGCATGGTCACCTCACTCAGGGGCTACAAGGGAAGGGCTGGGCTTACTCTCATTCCTTCTCACCCATGGAGGACTGATGAATCCCTTTCACTTCGTGAGGCCCACTGTCCTCTGCCCTCTGCCCCATGCTCCTTAGTCCCCTAGCTGCATGATCTCACTGTGTGTGTGTGGCGGGGGGAGCTTTTGCTCTGCTCTTGGGCAACAGGCCCCTTGCTGTGGCAGGACACAGGCAGGGCCTTGCTGGGCCTCCGCAGCCCCCTGCAGCTGATGTTTCTGCCTGAGATCCCTTGGGCCCCACCTGATCTGCTTCAATTCCCCTTCGTTTCACGGACAAGACAACCAGCACCTGTGCCTACGTCAGAAACTGACCCAGGATCCTGGATTCTCCCCTCTCTGCTGTCCCTTCCTCTCCCTGCTGCTCCCACGCACACCCGTCCGCCCTGGTGTCCTCTCCTCCCACCTCCTTCCTGCCCACACTGCCACTGCAGGGATGCCGAGGATCTGGGCGAGACTGCCAGGGAAACCCCCGACACAGCAAAGGCGCGGGAACTGTCCAGGCAAGAACTGTCTGGGCATGGCAGCCCACACCAGTGATCCCAACTACTCAGAAGGCTGAAGCAGGAGGACTGAGTTTGAGGCTAGCCTGAGCAACTTAGCAAAATCCTGTGTTCAATCCCCAGCACACACAAACATACAAGAAAAGAAGAGGAGGAAACGAGAGAGATGTCAAAAGAAAAACCCAACTCAAAGTTTTGGTTTGGTGTTTTCTGGCTTTTCAAGACTGGGTCTTATTGCAACCCTAAATTGCTCGAGCTGGGCCAAATTTGTGATCCTCCTGCCTCAATTTCCCAGCCTGCTAAGATTAAAGGCACATGGAACCACAATGAAGTAAGATCTTTTTTTGAAATGGTTAACTCTGAATTGGAGTGGAAGGAGGATAGGGCCAAAATATTTATCTTTCATTACGAAGTTTATATTTCTATTATACTTTGTAAACTGGGTACACACATCATTTTGATAAAGATTAAGAGTTAATTTAAAATACAACTTCAAGAGCTGGGTGTAGTGGCACACTCAGTAATCCCCAACACTAGGAAGGCTGAGGCAGGAGGATCGTTGAGAGTTTGAGAACAGCCTGGGCTACAAGGTGAACCTAAGGCCAATCTGAACTGCATAGAGAGAACCTGTCTCTCTTTCCCAAGAAATTCCACAGTTTGAAGCCAAGCCTGGTGGTAAACGTCTGTAACTCTAGCACTTGGGACACGCCAGGAATCGTGTGTTTGAGGCCATCCGGGACTACACGGTGAGTTTCAGGACAACCTGGCTGGCTCACTGTGAGAACGTACCTCAAAACAAAACAAAAGAAAAGAAAAGAAAAAGGCCCTCGGCTCTGGCTGCCTCCACACCCTGCACCTGACCTCTCCAGGAGAGGCTCTGCCAGCTCTATGTCACTGCTGAGTCCCCAGAGAGACCCTCGCTCAGGTCCCTCCACCTGAAACTCCTCCTGTCGCCTACCTGCCAGTCTCCTCCACATCCCTGGAGTCTCAGTCCTCACACACTCCTCGGTGACACCGTCTGTCCCTGGGAGCCTTACACACTCCTTCCCACCACCCC